TATCCAAGTGCAACCAAATGACCAGGGTCCATGAGACCAGGGCTCTGCAAACGCAGGAGGCAGAAGAGCCAGTCCTGTCCCGATTGAGAGCCGTAACACGCCGTGACAGACAAAGGCCATCACCACCATCTGAATGCTGGCCTGTAGAAGTTTTCAATCTTACTTCAGAGCCCACTGCATATACCAAAAGAGTCGCACATGGCTCGAGGGTCCCCAGTTTGCCCACCCCTGGTCTAGACCTGGGACCAGAAGGTGAGGGGCCAGGGAGCTGGTTAATTGACTGGACTGACCAGACTGTAAGGAGGAGAAGGCGGACATGTGACAGCGTGACTGAGCACCCCGTGTAGAAACTGACACAGGAACCTGTTTGCTGTCCCCAGCTCTCACCAGAAGCACATACATGGGGCAAAGGGAGAGGCAACGGACAAGCGGGAGAGTGGCAGAAAAGATGGCGACAGGAGAAGACATGAGTTAGAGGCAACAGGCAGGTACCATGACAAACTTAACCTTGCGCTACCTGTGATGCATTAGTGGGTGCTAGACAGACATGCAGATTGAACAGGTGTGGGGAGGAAAGATTCCCGGTGACAGGCTATTTGTGTGTGCCTGTTTACCTTTGCTGCAACATATAGTGGTAGTCACATTATCTGTGGTCCATTGGAGACGTAAGAGCGAAGGGGTGGAGGTAGTCATGAGAGAATGGTTTTGCAGCCTGCCCTGGAAAGAATGGACATGTAGACACTTCTGGAAATCATCTGCTGTGTTGACTCTCAAAAACCTGTCTTAGAAAATAATCAACTAACCCGGTAGGAAAAAAATAGAGGGCCTCTATGGAATTTTTTTTTCCTCTATGGAATTTGTGTGACTCCTGACATTGCTCAAAGCAGACAGGTTGGATGAGGATTATCACGTAAACGGGTCAAATAATGGTGAGAGGCTTCTCTCATTTGCAGGCCTGTTAGTCATGAAAAGCTGAACCCTGCTATCTAGCCAGTCAACAAAGACTGCCTAAGACTTAGCAAACCTCACTGTTCCGTTTGCTGGCCTCATGGTCAACAGTTGTTCCCGTGGTTACCCTGAAAATGGGGTGGATGGAAAACATTGATATGTGACTCCCCAAAGTGTAAATCCCAAAGCCAAAGGTATATATTCCCTGTGTGCTTTGATTTCAAACAGGATACCACAAACAAGATAGTCTGGCTTGCACTGCTGTGGTGCCCTTGCTGGTATACCTTCTAAATAAAAACTGCTCTTTCTTCCTCTGCGGAGCCCCGGGGTTAGCGATTACGCTCTGGGCTGTGATCTGCCAGGTCCACAGTTTGAAACCACCAGCCGCTCCCCAGGAGAACAATGGGGCTTTCTACTCCCATAAACAGTTACAGTCACTCAGAGGGGACGTTCGTGGGGACAGCTCTACCCTGTCCGATAGGTTGCTCTGAGTTGGCAGTGACTTGAGTGGAAGACCAAGCAGTGTGACTGTTATCAGACTTACCCCCACAAGGGCAGCAGTTGGAAACCACAAGTCTCTCCTAGGGAGAAAGACGGGGCTTTCTACTCCCGTAGAGCCACAGAATCGCACAGGGCAGTTTTTGCCCCGTCCTGTAGGTGACCCTGCAGGTGCTTTATTTCTTCCTCTGACTTGGAGTGGGTAAACTGGCTGCAAAACTCCCAAATAAAATACCTACATGTCAGGTGACAAAATCCTTGAGCCCAGAAGCTACCAACTACCAACTGCTCTGAGAGGTCCTGGGCTGAGAGGGAGAAGAATGGGCAAAGGAGCTCAGAACCCTAAAGAGAGCAGGCCTCCTGGTAGGCTGGGGCCGGGAGGAAGGCCAAGACGATGGACGGCAGTCGCCCTCAGGTCTGGGACAGCACCGGCCGCTGCCCACCACGTTTTCAACCCAAAGACAGGTCTGTAAAGAGATGCGCTCCCCTTAAAACCGCCAACCACTTCGGATGGATCCAAGGGCAGTGTTTACCGGACCGCAGGGTTCAGCGGGGCTAGGATGTGAAATGTCTATGGATTGTTGCATAGAAGACTGATGACCTGCTCGGTAGCCCTTCACCAGTTTACAACCCACATTTAAAGTGCGTATGTATACATGTAGTTTTTATTAAAGACGGAAATGTATCTTATTTGGCCAGCCTACGCGGCCTGCGGGGAGCGCGGCTCCGGAGCTGCCGCAGCGCCACGCGCTGGGCCGCCAGGGGGCGCTGCTCCGCCCGGGGGCCGGCTTTGG